AAAAGAAATTTATTCTTAAATTTAGGATTAGGAGACAGTGTGTTCAAGGAGTTCAGGGTGGCAGTAAAAATTATAGATACATTTGCGTTTTGACCCTACATCTTTATTTTGATCCTATAGATGACCCCGCAAATGTATAAAACAACATTAACACACTGGTGCTTCGTTGGTACATTATTTGTAACATCAAAAGATTTGGAAACAGCCCTAGTGTCCAACAGAAGATTCATTGACTAAATAATGGTATATCCACATACAGGAGTACTATTCAACTATTTTTAAAAGAATCAGGAAGATCTCTATGTACTAAAATAGAGAGATCTATAGAAGATACATCATTAGGTTTAAAAAACCAAGATACAGAGAATATATATTATAACCTCCAATTGTGTAATAAAGGGAAGAAATAAGAATATGTACTTATATTTGTATAAAGAATCAGTAAAAGGATAAATTAAAAAGTAATAAAAATTGTTACCTATAGGGGGCCAGGAGAAATGGGTGGATGAGGACAAGAGTAGGAACATGACTGCTTAGCATATGTCTTTTATATCAGTTTATGTTTTAAGCCATATAAAAAAATTGGGGTAAATTTTATGGTAAGCATTTTTTACCACATTAATTTTTTTTAACTTTTTGTTATGGAAAATTTTAAACATATATAAATATAAAGAAGAAAAAATGAACTCCCATGTACCTGTCACCTGTTTCAACAATTATCAGTATATGGCCAATCTTGTTTCATCCATACCTCTACCCACTCCCCACTCTCAACTGAATTATTTTGAAACAAATGTTAGACATATCATTTCATCCCTGTGTACTTTAGTGTATAACTTTAAAGGATAAAGGACTTTTTTTTAACATAACAGCATAAAAATTTAACACCTAACATAACACCTAAAAATTTAAGAATAATTCTTTAATAATCAAATGCTATTTTAATTTCCCCAATTGTTTCATAAATGTTATAGTTGATTTGTTCAAAACAGCATCTAAATAAGGTTCACTCATTGTAATTGGTTACTTAAGTTTCTTTTAATCTTAGGTTCCTCCTTCTTGTTTTTTTTCTTTTTTTTTTTTTTTTTAACTCCCTAGCAGTTTACTTGTGAAAGAAGATGGCTTGTTTGTCCTGTACAGTTTCCTGTGTTCTGGAGTTTGATGATTGTATATCCTTGTAGAGTCTTTTAAACTTGTTTTCCTGAATCCTAAATCTTCTCTAAAGTTGTAGTTAAATATACTTATCTGAAAGATGCAGATTTTTTGTTTTCGTTTTTCCGAGTAGTATTGTACATATAATATGATACATGGTTGTCTGTCTCTTTGTGATGTTAAGGAATTATCAGCCTTATCCATCCATAATATAATAGTTCTACAAACAGAAAAAGATTTCAAGATCAAATTTCAAATTGGATACAAGATTTTATGAAGGAAAGTGAGAAAAAAGGAAAGCTAGAAAGAGAAATAAGAGAACAAACTATGTATGTTTTATATACGTCAATATGGAAGAGATTGTGCAAGACTATAAGTGACAGATGTATGTGTATTAAAGATGATATTTGATAGGATATATACAAAAATTTGTAAATGAGACAGAGTTAGTGAATGTAGGAAAAGGAAATAGGTGTAAAGGAGGGGAGTCAAAATTTTGTTCTCCATAATAAAGCAAATTTCAGTTTTTCACCATGTCTCCTAAATCAGGATTGATGTCAGTGAGAAGAATCAAAGGCCTTGAATGGAAGCTATTGCTTTGATGCAGTAAATAGAATGATAATATTTTTATGAGAATGGGAGGTTATATAGCTGAAAACAAATGTGTTCCAAGACTGAACAGTACCTAGGACTCTGTAAGATTATTGTGAAGTGCATAAATAATTTAGTAACTTTGCTCCCCACCCCTATTTAGATAACTCTAAGAGAAAGAAAAGTAGTGTCAAAGGAAGAAAAAAGCTGCGCTCAACTGAGTTGTAGTGATTGGATTATGCAATATTGATTTACTGCCATAAATTGTTCACAACCAGATTTTGCTGACTGTTGTAAATTGAGCTTACAACGTGTCAGAAATCCAAATCTGTTTTATTTCTGTGAATAGAATTTAATTCAACAATAGGTTCTTGTTCCTTTGAGTAATAAGAAGTATCATTTATATCACCACTCAATCCTTTGAGTAAATATAGGAAAAAAAGGATTGTAATAGCCAGTGACTCAAGGCCACTAACCCTAAGTGATTCTTTTTTTTTTTTTTTTTGAGACAGAGTCTCACTCTGTTGCCCCGGCTAGAGTGAGTGCCGTGGCGTCAGCCTAGCTCACAGCAACCTCAAACTCCTGGGCTCAAGCGATCCTCCTGCCTCAGCCTCCCAAGTAGCTGGGACTACAGGCATGTGCCACCATGCCCGGCTAATTTTTTCTATATATTTTTAGTTGTCCGATTAATTCTTTCTATTTTTAGTAGAGACGGAGTCTCACTCTTGCTCAGGCTGGTTTCGAACTCCTGAGCTCAAACAATCCGCCCGCCTCGGCCTCCCAGAGTGCTAGGATTACAGGCGTGAGCCACCGCGACCGGCCGCCTAAGTGATTCTTAATGCCCATCCTCTGTCTCCCATGTCAGGACAAACTGGTACTAAATTCTTTCCTTTTACTACTTATTTTGCATTTCAGCTATTTCCTTCCATGTCTATTTGTTTAATCTATATTTCCCAGGCTATAGTATCATCTATATTTGATTTATTCTAGGCTTCATCTTCCTTATTTCTTATTTTCCTTATTTCTTTACCTTTCAGATAGAAATGTGTATCATAGATATAGAGTTTATGCATACCCAAAAGGCACCCAGAAGCTTTCCATTTTCCCTTCTGGCACAAGGCTTGAGTGCTATGGTAGGCTGCTGGGTTTTCTCTACACTGAGGTTTAAATCTGTTCTGTGCTTCTACACTGAAAAATTCCTGAGCTGTTAGCCTTAGAAGACAGAGCTATGGGCGAAGTCAAGTCAACTGATTGTGGCATACTTGGTGGGCACTCAGTTGTTCAAGTAGTCAATAAAAATACATGGGACCAAATTTTGAGTGGTTGAATGAATAGTTAGAACTCAATAGATGATGAGAATGGATTGATAAATGAACAAGTAGATGGAAGAAACTGGGAGAAAAGTAGGTTTATAGGGGATAAGTGAGCAGGAATCAGTTAATTTTCAGTAAAATAATGTAAGCTAGATGCATTTAAATATTGCACATCTACATCAGAAAGTTAAATTCTATTCACCTGTTCATTATTATTTATCACAGGGATTATGATCGAGAACAGTTTGCTGATAACCAAATCCCACTGTTGGTAATAGGGACTAAACTGGACCAGATTCATGAAACCAAGCGCCATGAAGTTTTAACTAGGACTGCTTTCCTGGCTGAGGATTTCAATGCAGAAGAGATTAATTTGGTGTGTATTTTCCCTAATGCATGTTATTATTATTATCAAGTGAAGGCAAAACCAAAGACTTTTATTTGAGTTATATATTCTAGAGAAAGAAGCTTTGGACTTGAAGTCAGGCTGTTTGGGTTCTCATCCAAAATGTAGTCAAGATTGGGATCAACATGTCTAGACTGTCAGATACACACAGTGCACAGTCACTTCAGCCTTCTATGTGATCTGTTATAATATTCAGACTTTATTCTATGAATAATGTAAATCATGGGCTTTTTCTTGAGAATATTTTTAAAAATCACACCAAAATTAAAATAATTAAATTGATGAAGGTGACACTACACCTTGATTATTCTTGCTTTAAAAGTGCCTCTTGGCTTCTTAAACTACAAAATTTTCCTTACAGGGCAACCTAACAGATATATGAGAAAATTACAAACTGTAAATTAGGAGCGCTTCATAAGGACTAATTTCTATAAACTTATACATATACAGAGCATTGAGACCCTTCCTTAGATAGCTAGCTCAATTAGAACTGAGTTCTAAAAAGACTAAGAAACAGTTGATATATAAGCCAGTTAGCAATACCCAGAGAATGATCCTGACCAGCGGCTTCAGTCATGGTTGCATGTTGTTGTTCACAAACAGGATTTTTGTAACATATTCGGTGCACTGGCATTCCAGATGTACAGTGGTGGTGGTGTAATAATACTAATGGCCAACATTTATTGAGCACTTACATGCTGAACACTGTTCTATTACTTTACTTACATTATCTCAAATGCATCTTCATAATCCACCCTATAAGATAGGTGATACTATTATCCTCATTTTAAAGATGAAGACAAGAAACAGAGAGAGGTAATAAGTAGGCCAATGTTATACAGGTCAAATAGGGCACTTAGACTTAGAGGCTGTGCTCTGCAGTTAAGCCTATTTTCCACTTGATTGTCCTTTAACTAACATTTAGAATTTTGGATTTGAATGAACTCTTAGAATCACCTAGACCAACAGTTGACCAAACCTGATTGTGTATTACCAACAGTACCTATGAAAAATTTTGAATAACTGCCCCCCTGCTGGAGATTTTTATTTATAAGGTCTAGCAAGAGGACCTGTAGTTTTCATAAATAACTCAGGTAATTCCGATGCCCTTACTCTGTGAGTCAACATTTGTGAACACTGCGTGGATCAGCCCCACCTCTACTTCCATCACTGTCAGCTTGTGCTGCCATTCCATTGTTTTTTGCATTCTGCTTTGCAGTGGAGGGTACCTTATTTTTCTCAGCTCCCACAATGCAGTATTTAATGTAAATACACCAGGTAGTCAGCACTGGACCATGATTTTCCTGCTATAGCAGAGATTCCTGCTATATTTAGATATATCCTTGTGGAAGAAGTGCTAAGGTTACTTTATTTGAACATTATTTCCAAAGGGAAATTTACCATTGAATACACTTAATTTGTTCCAGTGCGTACTTTTAATATATTTATATATGTTTATATATGTTTCTAGTGGCTGTGGGTTTCTGTGACAATCACCTATATATTTAATATATGTTATTCCTACTTGTCTTACAAAGATAAGGCCATCTTTTAATTGTTAGATGTAAAGGTACACAAATAGTGGAACTTAAGCACACATGATCTCCAGGGAGTTCAAATACAACATGCTTTTGGCCTTTATCAATGTATAGCACCAAGAACACAGCAGAAACAGCAATAGGAGAGGGTTGTGAGGATGCAGAGAAGAAAAAATGAGGAGGAAAATCGGATACAAAAGAGTTTCAAAAAGAGCAGTCAAAAACATTCCTTAAGTAAACATAAAGCCTTAAATAAAAAACTATTAATGACATGACAGTATTAGTGCTAGCATCATTGGTTAATGTATGAATTTACTTAAAACTACAAAAAAGTAAGAATATAACGGATATATACTTCAAAGGTGGAATGAAAGTATCTTCTGCGTGAATAAAATGCAAATTGTTTTAATTATAAATAGGAGGCAGATTAATTTTTTTAAATCCCATTAGGCTTATTATGTTTAATACAAATTTTTCTCTGTTGTGTGTTTACTTCATAGTGATCATATTGAAGCATCTTCCCTAGTTAATAGTTCTTTCTCAAGCTCAGACAAGCTATTTAGAAGTATTAATTTTCAGGCTTTACCCTTAGCCACAATCAATGGCAGAGGGCTCCATCAGCTCTAAAAGTCTCGTCCTAAAAATCATAAGCTTTCCCTAACCTGGTCAGCCTGAAATTGTGGAGCCCTAGAATTAAGTTTTTTTGGAGTGTTTTGTTTGCTTGCTGTTTGATTTAGGACTTTAGCTCTATTCAGTACTTTAGCTCTATTTAGAATTATCTCTGAAATCTTTTGACATTTTGATAACTAATCAATATCCATGTTATAAAACATTTCTACCACAGGTCAAAAGTTTGTCTCTTCTTATATGCCCCAACTGGTATAGAAATGTGTTCAAACATCATTTCAAATACAATAGTTTGTACAATGATGTTTTGGTCTGTATAATCCATATATGGAATTATCTTTATTATGGTAAGTGCTTTTCGTGCCTGAAAATTCAATCTGATAACATTTTCTTAAATTGAAGAGAGAAGGAAATTAATATTTTCAATACCTGCAATGTCCAGACATGGATTATCTCATTTAATATTCAGAAAAAATCCTATGGGTTAAAGTATTGTTATCCCCATTCCACAAATGAGTATGCCCAACTTCAGAGGTTTAGTAACTAACCAATGTTACAATACAATCTTAGAAATGGTAGGACAGATACTCAGATTCAGAGCTTGCTGGCTTCAAAAATCCCCTGAGTTTGGAAAAATTTGCTGTAGACTCTTTTTTGTGGTTTTAGAGAATGTGTTATAGTTTCCAGCCAAAATTTAAAATGTGAGCCTTAAAATGTTGCACATGAATAAAGTAAGTAATTGTTTCTAAATTCATTAGAAAGGATTCACATGGGCCTAGAGTTGTCAAAACAGAATAAATGCAACAATAATTCCAGTAATTTCTCAAGGGGCACAGAGGATCTGTAGCTGAAAGATAGATAACATCCTTGCAAGGGAGCCTACATGCTATCCTCATAATTTAGTCATAGGTAGCATTTGAGGTAAAGATCAAAGTACTCTGTTTCTTGATGTGGCAAGCAAAAACAATGCCACACTGGAATTCCAGAGAAGGATAGTAAGCTTTTTAAGGTCCTTGCAAAATTATTGCAATGATTTAATGTTCCACATTGTTTTGTCTCTTCTGGACCCATTTTTTTCCTATTTTAAAAAATCCTATCAAACAGTAGTAATATATCTATTGTTTATTATCAAAAACAATATATCTTTGTGACCTACTAAGAGATAAGAAGTACCTTGCATCCAATGAGTGAGAAATCCCTGGCAACTGTTCTGTTTGTTCTTTGCTCCTCTAAATCCTTATTTTCATGCTTCCTGCTAGTCATATGAATTATACATTACTTAGTTGAGCACTGGTGAGTAACTAGTACTAAAAAGTGAAGTGTTTACTGTTTTTAATGGCTCTATTTCTGGTTTTCAGAGTAAATATAGGTAGATCACTTGATTAATACCTTGGTTTTGTTGTTGGTAAAGTATTAGTAATCCTGTCTTCCTCTATGAATTATTTGATTTTAACTACATTGATTCAGTCAGTATACCCTAAAATTGTTTAAATGACGAAGAGTAAGTGGCCTTATCTTCCTTTAGTACTTTCTGCCTTGCTTTGCGCATCATAATTTGAAAATTATTTGAATATTTTACGAGAGTATTATGCCTAATAGTATTATGCCTAAAGTAATGTGCAACAGGAAAGGTTATGTCTAACAAAGAGCTCAGGTTTCCTAACTTTCAATTGTGGATCTTATGTTTTATCTTCTAGGATTGCACAAATCCACGGTACTTAGCTGCAGGTTCTTCCAATGCTGTCAAGCTCAGTAGGTTTTTTGATAAGGTAATGGCTTCAATTACATTACTTTTAAACTTAATTTATATATTATGAGAGTTTAAACTTTTGTAGGATCCTGTGTCCCTTTATTCCTTTGTACGAAACTTCACAGCCTGAATAATGCTTGTTTTGATCTCTCTTATCTGTTGGTATAATTGCTCAAGGCCTGCTGACGTATTTATTCCATCATCAGTGTTCTCTAAGGGTGAAAGCTACTGAATTTAAATGGGGGTTTTTAAAAGATACCTCTCCTTAAATCAAATTGTGTTGACCCATTTTCTAGCTTTTTTCGTACTTATTCACCCGCTTACCGCCCCCCC